GGAGCATGTTCTGACTATGTTTTCATTGTCGCCCAAAATCCGCCTGTAGGGGGACATGCCCGTCCCAACCCCAGAACCGTTGTCCCCCGTTCCTCGTTCTCGTCCTCGGCGTCGCTGCTCCAGCCTCAGGCCCCTCCTCCTGCGCGCGGCGCTGGGCCTGGAATCGAGATGTTCGGGGCGTCTCTGGCCCTGGGAGGAGGAGGAGGGATTGGGAGAAGGCAGGAGGAGGAAAAGGGAGGAGGAGGAGGAGGAGGAGGAGGAGGAGGAGGAGGAGGAGGAGGAGGAGGAGGAGGAGGAGGAGGAGGAGGAGGAGGAGGAGGAGGAGGAGAGGAGGAGAGAGGAGGAGGAGGAGGAGGAGGAGGAGGAAGAGGGAGGAGGAGGAAGAGGGAGGAGGAGGAGGAGAGAGAGGAGAAGGAGGAAGAAGAGGAAGGGTGAGGAGAAGGAGGGGGATGCGAAGGAGAAGGGGGATGGAGCGAGGAAGGAGAGGGGGAGGAGGGAGAGAGGAAGAGTGGGAGATGAGGCGGAGGTTCCACCCCATTCAGCCTCTCCTCCCCTAACCCCCTCTTCGGGTGGTGATGTGGTAGCTGGAGGCTCCTGGCCTCCCCTCCGGTAATCACGTCCACCAGCCAGCTCGACAAGCCGAGCTTGCCAGGAGCACAGCTCGTCCCGATTCTCCACGGCTTCTTGTATCAGCTTGCGGGTCACAGCGAGCACAGACTTGTTCAGGGATAAGCTGTCGGTCCAACATGGCACCGTAGATGCACCCTGTGGAAGAACAGCGTCCGCGACATACTTCAGGTTGCTTCGGCCAACCTGAGGGGGCTTGGCCCAGGGCGTGACAGGCCCCGACCAGACCAGCGGGTGTCGTGAAACAGCCACGGCGGACGCCGTCTTAGCAATCGCGTTCTCATTCATTGTTTTGCCGATCGGCGCGGGCCCTCGCACCCCCCTCCCCCTCCCATGGAGTAGATCATGGCAGTTTTGCGCGCCTGTTTCAAGCAGGTGGGCGGCTCCACATAGGATCCCCCATGGGAGCACTGATCCAAGCAGTCGCACTAAGCAGAGGTCCAGAGCCAGGCCCCCCCCTCCCCCCCCTTCCGCCCAAGGTTGAAACGCCGAATAAAAAAAGCGTTCATTGGGATCCTGCGTCTCTCGGTCGGCCCTGCGCGGAGTCGGGCGGACCGCGCCGGTGGAGAGCCTGCAGCGGTGCCACTTCGAGGAAGAGGTACCCATGCCTCTGCCCGTTCCTCGTTTCCCCCTTTTGGGGGCCTCCTCGGAGGCCCTCGTCGCCACCGTCGGATTCGCCCCAGAATTCTGGTCAGAGCGCACCCCGGGAGAGGTCCGGGGAGTAGCGGTGTCGGTATCTTTTCAATTCCCCACCAATTGCCCTCGGCAAGCTCTTCGGGGGGATTGCATGGGATTGGGGCCGGGTGGCGGGGTATAGGGCGGGTCGTGGCGGCGGGAGCGGCGCGAGACCTTCGTCGAGGGCTCCTCCCGCCTGGGTGGTTCTTTTGGGTTCCCAGGGGGTGCCTTGCGTTGCCTGGCCACGCAGCATATTCTGGATGCTCTGCTACTTTTGTGCAGTGTCAGTGAATCGCCAGTCTACTTTCTAGCTTCTGCTAGGTCAGGCCTGTGTCTTTACTGCCACTATGCGTGAAGTTGTTTGTTCTCGTAAAATCGTGACAGGTTCGTTCCTCGAGTCCGATCAACGCAAAGAGAAACGAGAAGGAGCGGGAGGAGGGCCACGGCACAGGGGGGAGGGGGCAAAGGGATGGAGGAGGAGATGCGTGAGGAGGGGAAAACGGAGGAGAGGGAGGACAATCAGCCCTGGGGATAATGGGGAGAGGGGGAGGAAGAGGACGAGGAACCCCAGCAGCAGCAGGAGGACAGGAAAAGAAGGCAAGGGGGTCGGTCGGAGGGGGGGAGCAGGGGAGTCGGAGGGGCCGAGGGGGGTCGAGGCAGGAAAACGAAGGGGGCCACCACACGGACGGCGAAGCAGGAAAGACAACGACGACGCCAGTGGCTGCGAGGTCGACGACGGCGGCGCCGGCGGCGGATGCGGCGGCGGCGGCGAAGGGCGAGGGGCGCGGCGCTGGAGCCCGCGAGGATCACCGAGCGCGTTCCGCTACTCACAAAGGTGATATCGTGTTCTTATTCATTGTTTTGCCGATCGGCGCGGGCCCCCCTCCCCCTCCCCCCCTATGGCCTATGGATCGGGCCGAACGAAACGGGGGGATAGGGAAAGGGGGGTTACGAAATCTGCCGCATGCAGCTGGTTTCGGCCCCGCCGCCGGGCCCATTCCTCGATACATGAGCGCCTCCCGGGAAAATCAGCTACGCGAGCTGATTCTCAATCCGATTCCCCCCTTTGCTATCCCCCCCTCCTCCCCCCATGGAGTAGATCTTGGCTGTTTTTTGGCGCCTGTTTCGAGCGGGTGGAGTCTCCCCCAGAGGCCGCACTCTTGCAAACAGTCGTACCTAAGCAAAGAGGTCTGGGGCCAGGTCCCCCTTCCTCCCCGCCCCTTCCGCCCAACGTCGGAACGCCGAACAAGAAAACGCTCACAAGCGCCTGCTCGCAGATGTCCGAAACATGCACATGTTCGCCCCGACGCAACACATCGCAGCTCCCCCGCGGCGGACCCAGGCCATTTGCGAGCGATTCCTTTGCGGGTGGCGGAGCGCGCCCGCCCAGAGGACAAGAGCACCAACTTGACCCGCAGCCGCCGCACCCAGCAGCTCAGGGTCGGCGGGGGCGGGGCCCGGCGTCCCACGCCGACATGCCGCATGTCGCCACGGGTGCGCGTCGCCCCCCCCCCCCCCGAGGGGGCGAGGCGCGCGCAGGGGAAACTTTCAGTGTTCAGAGCGTGAATTACCTACCCCGCTTTCGCTTCCAGGAAAAACCAAGTCATACCACGCGCCTCCTCGTCAAGCGGCCTGACCAGTACAGGCCGTAGTTTGGCATCGCTTGGTATCTCTTGGGAGCGAGGGTGGTCAAAAGCGAGGTAGGTTTGTTTTCGCCCGAAGTGTGGGCTCTGTTCGGGTATGGCCAGGACCCCAGGTATGGGGACCCGGTCAGTGGTAAGGCCCCGGAGCCCTTAAATGGGCCAGAATCACCAAGCCAGGTTTGCCATAGCTGTTTTTTTTCGGGTGGCGGCAGTTCCGGTTCGTGGAAATGGGGCGGGGGGGGCGCCCCTGGTACAGATCACTAAACCAGGTTCCACTAAACACAGTTCTGCCAACGCAACGCCCGATCTGTGGAGGGCGCGCTCTCGCCGTACCGCTCGAGAAGCGGTGCAGTCAGCCCTCGCAATGCGGACCTCGGTTGGCCCCGGAGATCTCGAGGGCAGGGCCGTTCTCTTACCGGTGCCGCTTTGCCGTCTCTTGTTTACCGGTTCCGGCAACGTGTTCGTTGCCGGTTCCGTCGACGGTGTTTTTCCGTTTCCGGCTCAGGTTCTAATCCCTGAGCCGTTGTTTTGCCGCTTCTGGTCGCAATTTTTCCCCTTTTGCCATGTTCAAAGGATACTTCCAAAAAAACGGGGACAAAACGGTCCTGCCGTTTCCGGGGCCTTGAAGGTAAGGATGATAGATTTCCCAAGATGTTACTCTTGCATCCTTCCCCTTCGGCCCATCCTTGGCCGCTTTCGCTGGCCGCGCCCCGCCCGCAAAAAGTGTCGACGTGGCCCCCCAAGGCCCTTGCATCCTTCTCGCGCGTCCTAATTTCGGGGGCGGAAAAGAGGGGGGTGATGACTAGGGGGGGTGGACATCATGGCGTGGGCCATGATGTTTCCCCAGATTTCGTGGCGCCTCTTCTTATCTCATTACGTCCCTGGACCCCCCCCCGCTGGTCCGCGCACGTGCCGACGGTCATGATTTGCACCCCCCCCTCTTGGGCACCCCCCTCGTGGCCGCTCCCGAGAACTCTGCGGGCTGACCGCCGGCGGCAGGAGGTGTGCCCCGCGGGGCGGCGGGGCGCAGCAGCGGTGCACCCCGGGGAACAAACCATGCGGCGGCCAGGCCAGGGGGGGGGAGGTGACAGGGCTCGGGCCCTCTCAGGACGCCCAGAGGTCCCCGGGCCCTCTGGGAAGTTTTTAAGCCTTCCCCGCAGACGCAGAACATTTCTCGGAAGGCAGGGGGTGACTACCTACCAGACCACCCCAACCCAGCCCGAATACCCGAATTTCGGGTTGGGGTGGGTAAGGGTTCCACATGTTTTTTTTTTTTTAAATGTTTCCCGATCCCCCCCCACTGGAAATCGAGGGTAAATCTGAGCCTTCGGGTTGGGTTGGGGTGGTTTGGTGGGTGGCCAGAAGGGCTCCTCAGAAGCCCTGCCGCCTTCTGAGAAGGCCCTCTCCTTCTCCCCCCCCCCTCGCTCGCCGCCGGACAATGGCACGATCATAAAGGCTCGGAGGTCCGTGCGGACTTCTCGGATCGGCGCTGGGTCCCGCGCTCTGGCGCGCGGAACGCGCCAGGGGCGCCACCGGAGGCGACGCCAGGGGGCCCCAGCCAGCGCCCATCCGAGCAAACCGCGCGGACCCCCGAGCTTTGATGCTGGGGTCGTGGTTTGTTCCCCCAGTGCAGGCAGCGGACGGACTGTGCGTCGGTCTGGGGCCTCTTGCGAACCTGGGCCCCCCTGCGGGTCCGTTCTGCGCTGGGGTGTCGCAAACTCGGGGAGGCAACGGAGATAGGGAGGGGTAGGCTCGGGGGGGGAGGCGTCGACCCCCGATTGCCGGCTGATCGCCGAGAAGGGCCCGATAGACCACCCCGCTCAGGAACATGCGGTTTCGCTATCAGGGGGTCAATTGCCGATACATCTATATATATATACATACATATACCCGGATGTATCGCCGATTCCAGGTCGATGCTGCCCCCTATACCAGGCTCCCCCTTTTATCGTCACCCCTCATGGCTCGTGGACACCCGCACAGGGGTTTGCTGGGCTGCAGTCGACCTCCAGAGTCTGAGCTCTGGGCCGGAGCTTCGAAAGGCTTGCTTGCAGCGGTAAGGTTCCCATGTGGTTGCCTAGTCAGGGAGGCTTCGCTGCTTGAGCCCCACAGTAACGTCTCATGGGCGCTCATGGGGCCCTTCGGGTCGGTCTTGTATTGCTTCGGGACTCCTATTGAGGCCCTCTTGGGCGATTTTCGATCCATCTTGTGGCCTCGGAAGCCCATCCGAAGTGAACAGGCAAGAAGTCATACCTAATCGAAACGCCCTAAGTGTTTGACGGAATTTGTCCTCACAGGAGTATCTTTTGGAGGCTTCGTGGCCACTTGGAGCTGTCATGGGACTTCTTGGCCTTGTACGGGCCAGCCCTTCAAGAACCGTCTTTGATGGCATCCTGGGCATATCCTGGAGGCACCCGAGAGTGGTTTGGGCGGCTTTGCGGGCCCCGGAGACGCGCCGAAGAGTTCGTCCCTCCCGGGATTTTGGATCGGTGGCGGGTCGGCGGATTATTTCCCCCAGAGCCCGGGTCCCAGATCTACGGATCAGTAATCCACATTAGCGTCTGCCTGGGGAGGACGACGAGGAGAGGAGGCAAACGAGGATGAAGAAATGGAGGAGGAGGAGGAGGAGGAGGAGGAGGAGGAGGAGGAGGAGGAGGAGGAGGAGGAGGAGGGACAGGGGGAGGGAGGACGAGGAGGGAGAGGAGTGGGAGGGTGGGGGGACGGGGGAAGTGGAATTCGGAGGGCGGGGGAGGGCGATGCGGACATGCGGAAGAGGGAGAGAGGGAGGGTGGTGAAGCTCAAGGCGGTGGAGACGCGCAGAGGAGGCGAAAGGAGGAGGATGAGGAGGACGGCAGCGGTGGCGACGAGAACGACGACGACCCCTCTTCGTCAGGCTCCTTGCCCCGCGCTGTGCTCCAGGGCTGGACCCAAACGCTGGTGTTCGTTATGTTCTCGTTTTGGTTTTCGTGTTGCTCCACCTCTTTTCCTGTACCTTCCTGGCACAACGGAGCACAAAACACAGCCGAAGCCCAGCAACGCAGCGTCTAGGTCCAGCCCTGCCGTGCTCCTTGCCCGCTTTCCTTCTCTCGCTCGTCGTCGTCGTCGCTGCAGCCGCGGAGAGAGGGCAGGCGCACGAGGAGGGACCCCCCCCCCTTCACGAACGAACAACACACACCCATACCCATAGGGGGGTCGTTGGGAGAAGGACTGGCTATGGGTATGGGTGCGGGTTGTCGGACCCTGGGGAAACGCTCCTCTTCGAGCGGGGACCCCCATCCGACAACACGCACCCATGGCCCTCTCCGATCCCCCTATGGGTATGGGTGTGTGTTGCTGGTTCGTCACCCCCTTGCCCCCCTCTCGGAGAGGGCAGGCCCGACGAGAGGGGCCTTCCACCCCCGGTTGAGGGGGAGCCTGCGAATGAAAGAAGGGGAGCAGGCGGACGTCCAGGGCCGCCCTGGCCCGCGGAGAGAGGGCAGGCGCACGAGGAGGGACCCCCCCCCTCCTTGCCCCTCTCGGAGAGGGCAGGCCCGACGAGAGGGGCCTTCCACCCCCGGTTGAGGGGGAGCCTGCGAACGAGAGAAGGAGAGCAGGCGGACGTCCAGGGCCGCCCTGGCCCGCGGAGAGGGCCGGGCGGGCAGGACAGCGATCGGTTTCTGCTCCACTGTTTGGCCGATCGGCGCGGGTCCTCACACCCGCCCCCCTCGCCCCCTCCCCCCTGGAGTACACTTTAGGCGATGCTTAAGGAAACTTAAGTTTTCGGCCAGAGTCTCGATTATTCTTAACGTTTCAATGTAAACCCTAAGATTTCAATAGAAATGTTGTTTTTTATGCAAATTCTGAGACCATGAATTTCTTAACCCATGATTTCTTAACCATTTCGCGTGGTGTAGTCTTTCAGGAGGGGAAGAAAACACACACAGACACAATTGATCGTCGATTCCCAGGCAAATATGGGAAAAGATGGGAGAAGTGGGGGAGAAGACAGAAACCCAGGAAATATGGGAAGATGTGGGGAAGGTTTTTGTTTGTGTGTGTATTTATTTGTGTGTCCTGGGGCCCCTTCAATCTTGAACGTTCTGGGCGCTTGTCTTGAGCAGGTGGGATCTCCCCAGTGGGGCGCACTGCTGCAGACAGCCGCACGAAGCAGAGTTCCCGAGCCAGAGCCCGCCTCCCCCCCCCTCCCCCCCAATGTCGACACGCCGAGTAAAACAACGTTCACAAGGCCTTTCACCCCGCGGATGTTCAGGAGGGGAAGAAACACACAGACACAATTAATCGTCGATTCCGAAGAAAACATGGGAAAATATGGGAAGTGGGGGGGAAGACAAAAACCCCGAAAATATGGGAAACTATGGTGAATCTTTTTATTTGTGTCTATTTATTTGTGTGTCCCAGGGCCCCTTCAGATGTGGCAGGCGGGCAAGGATGGCCCCTCTTCCACCAGCGGAGGGGACAGGCGGACAAGAAGGGTAACCGCAGCCACTCGCGCCTGCAGCAGTGGTCGCACGCTAAGGACCCCTGGCCCGCCGGTGGGCCTCGCCCTCCTCCACGTCCTCGATGGCGAGGCGAGGAGGGCGAGGGAGGGAGGAGGAAGGGAGGAGGGAGGAGGGAGGAGGGAGGAGAAGAAGGGAGGAGGAGGACGGAGCAGGGAAAGGGAGGAGGAGGAGGAGGAGGAGGAAGGGAGGAGGAGAAGGACGAGAGAGGAATAGAGGAGTATTACGAGATGATGGAGAGTACGAGGAGGAGGAGATGAGGGGACGTAGAGGGAGGAAAGAGGGAAATGAAGAGGATGAGGAGGAGGAGAAAGAGGATTAGGAGAGGAGGAAAAGGAGGAGAGGAGGACGAAATGGAAGGAGGAGAGGACGGAGAGAAGGAGGGAGGCGGAGGAGGAGGAGGAGGAGGGAGGAGTAGGAGTAGGAGTGAGGAGGAGGAGGAAAAGGAGGAGGACGAGGAGGAGGAGGAGGAGGAGGAGGAGGAGGAGGAGGAGGAGGAGCAGGAGGACGTCCCGCTGGTCGCTTAAATGCTCCGTCGTCGCGGGGTAGGCGGAGGGTGTTCGTCCTCCTCCGCCTCCTCCGCCTCTTCCTCGTCCTCCTTGTGCGCGCGAGTGCATGCATGTGTGTGTGTGTGTGTACACCGCGATCATTCATGTCTGGCACTTTGCGCAGCAGGAGCAGCAGCAGGATCAGCAGCGCAGGCCCAGGATGCAGGAATGGTACTGCAAGACGTCCAGACGTCCGAAGCTTCTTTCCCGCTGTCCCGGCATGCCTCTTTTGCACTACATGCCACTGGTTGCGGGGTGCGCCCCCTTGACAGATGAGCGCTTCATGGGCCTGATATTGGGGCGGGAGGGCCAGTCTGAAAAAGGAACCGCCTTGCACCGTCCGTGCCACTGTCAGACAGTGTGATTTGTGGTAACTAGCAGCAGTTTAGGCAAGTGTCACGCGAGGCCCTCTTTTCAAAATGTATCGCGCTCCATTTGTGGAGCCACTGCAAGCTTTTATATTACGGATACTCGGGGTTTCTTAGTACGCGTGGGGGGATACCCCCTCGACGGGGGTCAACCGCGTCTCGTCGTCGCGCCGCGATGGGGGTCGGAGCGCCTTCGGCGCGCGGTGGCTGCCCGCGATGTGGGGCTGTCGGCGGGGCTGACGCCCCCCCGACCCTTATTACGATTACGAAACTCGGAGTACGCAACCTGACGGTATGTCCACTAGGACCCTACTTCTGTCCAGGGGCAGCGCTCCATCTAATTGAAGGCCACACGACTTGAAGCCCCAAAATATGGAATGACGCGTTTTCGAAGTCTTGAGCGAGATCTTCATTTTGAGGGTAGACCGCCGTCCAGTCGTGCGTAAGTGCTGCAAGCTTTTACGACGAAAGCTCGCGGGGATAAGATGCTAAATCGACACGTTGAACACGACCCGCTCTCCATCCGTGTAGTTGTTCCGCCACGACGACGGCGACCACGACGACGCAGACAACAGCGATGACGACCGCGACGACTAACAAGACAACGACGAACACGACACCAGCCACCAGAACGAGGCAAGCGACGACGACGGAGGGCATCGACTCACGGCAACGATGACGTCCAACACGAAGACGACGCAGGTGACGACGTTGACGACGACGGCGAGTATGAAGGTGACGAAAGTGACGGCGGCGTCGACGACGACGACGACTGCGGGCGGGACCCTGTCGGGCGGGTCAGGCGGGTTGGACCCTGACGGGTGGGTCGGGCAAGTGGGATATCTCAGGTAGGCCCGCGAGCGGGACCCGAACGGGCGGATTCGGCGGGTGGGGCCCCAAGGGGGCGGGAGGGCGGCCAGGACATTGCGGCGGGCGGGTGGGCTTTCACAGGACTGGCCGCGGGCGGGACCCTCACGGGCAGGTCGGGCGGGCAGGACCCGAAGAGGCGGGTCGGGACAGGACAGCACATGGGCAAACTACTCGAACCCCCACACAGTTGAGGGGGATGTCCATCACCCCCCAGCCCCCGACATCAACGTTACGTGTTTCCACGGGTGATGGTCTGGGGGTTCGAGCATGTTTGTCCGCCCAGGCCCTCCCAATGCCGTGCCCTGAATAATGTCGTGTGCCGCAGGGCTCGAACTGATGTCCATGTGCGGGAGGATGCGACCCAGACGGGTGCGTCGGGCGGGCGGTTAAGTAACGGAAGCGTTCAGGTCGCTGTGTCATCCTGCGTGAGGCCCGTTTCTTTCCGTCGCTTGCATAGAAGTCGCATGGCTCCTTGACTCCGGCGTTGCGTAATGGGGGGGCGATCCATCGGGGGGGAGGAGAGGTGCATCTTCTGTGCCCCTGAGGAGGGGTATGAAGGGGGCCCCAAAGGGGCACGAGAGGTGCACGTGCTTGGCATCGCTCGGACGTGTGCAATTTTCCTTCGTCGAGGACCGTCGAGGAGCATCCTTGATCATTTGGCGAAGAAGCCACGCGCGAAACCGCAAAGCAAACACAGGGAATGGGCGTCCGAGCGATGGCAGGCGTGTCTTTGCTCCCCCATGTGATGCGTTCCAGAGAGTCACCACCCACCAAACCACCCCAACCCAACCCGAAGGCCCAAATTTATCCTCGATTTCCAGTGGGGGGGGTGTCGGGAAACATCGAAAAAACACATGTGGAACCCTTACCCCCCCCCAACCCGAAATTCGGGTCTTCGGGTTGGGTTGGGGTGGTCTGGTTGGTTGTCAGAGAGGGTCTCCACTCCCCGGGTCGAAAGAGCTGTCATGCCTTCCTCGGCGGAAAGGGGGGCGGCAGGCGGCGGAAGGGAGGCGGAAGGAAGCCTCCCCGGGCGGACACGCCAGCGGAAGCCACAAATACACCTTAGGCGATGCTTAAGAAAACTTAAGTTTTCGGCCAGAGTCTCGATTATTCTTAATGTTTCAATGTAAATCCTAAGATTTTGATAGAAGTTCTGGGTTTTCATTCACGTTCTGAGACTATGAATTTCTTAACCCATGATTTCTTAAGCATTTCGCAGGGTGTACAGTCGGGGCCCTGAAGAAGAAACCCTTTTCGTTGGGGAGGGGCTCGGTGTTCCGTGATTGTTCGACAGTTTGCCTTTTGTTTTCCTGATTTTTTCGATCGGAAATCGAAGTTGAACTTCTGGAAAAAAGGGGCCTCGTTCCTTATTTAGGGCTCCTCAGGTCAACGCCCCGACGGTACGCGCCGAAGAGTTGGCAACATTTGTGGTGCAGGGTCTCCAGAATCGGCCATTCACTTGACATCGCTCGGACGTGTGCTCTTTTTCTCGCGGTCGGATCCTCTAGCGGGAAGAAAAGAGAAAACGCACGAAACCGAGAAAGTGCGCGGGGAATGGGGCGGCCGAGCGATGGCGAGTGCAGTCGGGGCCCATGCCAAGAAACACCCTGCTTGCCTCCAGGGTGCCCTGGGTTTCTCGGGCTTCGATGGTCTTGCCATGGAAAGCGTGGCGCTCCCACACCAACAACAAAAAATGGACGTCCTGGGGCCTCAGGGTAGGGCTTCTTGTGGAAATCCATTTGTAGAATTCTGCTGTTCTCGCAGTCGCAGTCGCATTCGCAATGACAGTCGCAGTGGCAACGGCCTTAGGATCGAATGGAGTCCTAAGGATTCCTAAGGATTCCTACGGGTTCCTAAGGGTGGTTTCTCGTGGTCGGGCCCCCACTGCACCAGAAGAGGCAGCAACCACACCAACATAATGTTTTGGCGCTCCGCGCGGATCTCTTGGATCGGCGCGGGCCCCCCCCCCCCGGCGGCGCCTCCGGCGCCGCCCTTGGCGCGCTCCGCGCGCCATGCGGGTCGGGCGAAAGGGGGGGATTGGGAAAGGGGGGGTTACAAAATTTGCTGCATGCAGCTGGTTGCGGCCTCACCGAGGGGCCCATTCCTCGATACATCGCCGCCTCCGGCGCCGGGAGGCGCCGGGAAAATCAGCTACGTGAGCTGATTCTCAAACCCCCCCTTTGCTATCCCCCCCTTTCGCCCGACCCGAGCCATGCATGGAGGGGGTCCAGCGCGGATCCAAGAACCCCGCGCGGAGCGCCAAAAAAATATGTTTATGGTTAAGGTTTGGTGCGTCCCTCTAGAGGAGGAAAATTCAATCACACCTGAGAAAACCCAATCAGAGGATGATCTGAACATGAATACTCTGGATCTTGAGATGGATTGTGAGATCGATGATCAGATCGATAGTGGAATCGATAGTGAGGACGATTGTAAGGTCGATCGTGAGACCGAGAGTGAACTCGATTCAATGAGATCTCTACTGAGATCAATTGTGAGATCGATGGTGAGATCGATAGAGAAGTGGGGAACGAGATCGATGGTCAGACCGATCGATAAGAAGATCGACCAGGAACCCGGGAACCCGGGAACCTCGGCGCCCTCCGAAATCGGCCTGGAATCCGGAACCGGGAACCATGGAACCCAGAACAGGGAACCTGGGAACCCAGCCAGCAACCCAAACCGGCGGGACACTTTCGCCAAATCCTTCAACATCCGCGAGGGCCCCTTCAGTGCGAGCACTGATCGGGGAATCACAATCGAAACATCGCCTGGGGACAATTTTTCGATCTTTCTGCCATCTTTGAATATTCTTTAGTCTTTCTTGCTTTCCGTCCGCGGTCCGCCCGTAGGAGGACATGCCCGCCCTTGCTCTATGGCGCTTTTCCTTCCTTGCTGCAGTGCCGTTTTTAAGACATGCTCCGCGTGCGGATCATGTATGCAACATGCAGGGGGGTGGCATGAAAAGCAACGATGAGTCCATGCATACATTTCTTCATACTTCAATCATGCATTAAACATCCTACTCCAGATTTCGTAATAAAGGGAGGGGGGTCTCATTTCGGGGGGGGGTCTCTTCCAGGCTATCTTGGAGGGCCTGGGGGGGTCTGGGGACGATGTTTTGGAGGGTTCTCCCACGGGGGAGGTCTGCAATGGCTCGTCTTGGAGGGCCCAGACCCCCTCCCCTTTTATTACGAAATCCGGAGTATATGTTTCAACAATTCCATGCACCAGAAGCTGCCCTGTGTGTTCGGGCACCGCCCGACGGCCGCGTGCCGGCCGAGGAGCTCCCCGTGGCCAGACACCTCACGGACCACGAGTTCCGCAACGCCGTCATAAGTCAATCATGGATCAAAATCCCATACGTTTTAACAATCCCATGCACCAAACACTGCCCTGTGTGTTCGGGCACCGCCCGACGGCCGCGTGCTAGCCGAGGAGCGCCCCGTGGCCAGATACCTCACGGACTACGAGTTCCGCAACGCCGTGGAGGCCCCGCGCGGCGCCGGGGCCCCGACGGCGGGGGCCA